AGAACTCCCAGTCTCTTGCTTTCTCTCCAGGCGCCTTAAACCCCCAGCCCATAACCATTGTTTTACATCTGAATCAGAGAGCGTGAGATACTTAGGCCGCGCCGGATCTCCGGGGGGCCACAGGGTACCTGTTGGTCATGTCCTTCTGCCATCTCTCCACCACCTGGGGGCTAAGTTGGTTTTCCAGGGTCTTCAGGCCGGACAGCTTATAGGGCAGCACAATCAGCATGCTGATATTCCCCACGTAGGGCAGTTGCAGCACCCTGCAGTCGAGCTCATTGTCTTCGGTGGCCAAGAAGTTGGCTTTGACTTTCATCATAGGGACCTTCACCGTCTCCTTCTCGTTCAGCCGGAAACTCTGCTTGTAGGTCGCCTCCACTGGGAACTTGTTTTCCCAGGTTCCTGGCAACAACCAATGAAAACACTTTGAGTTCGTCCTTCTTTTCCCGCGGTTTTCCTTTTTTTTTTATAAAAGGTTTTCCTTTTCTTTTTAACAACCAACATAAGCAAAAAGCATAATACATAAAACAACAAATAAAACCTTTCAATTATACCTACGTCTTGTGCACCATATCTATAGTCTTTTCCTCTTAAATTTATATTCATGTTGCATTAATTAACTTTCCATATCATATTATTACTATACAATCACTAGACTTTAATCTCAATTCCATATTATCCTTTAGAGCACATCTCAATTCTTTCTAATTTTTATTCGTATTATATTTTAGGTAAAGATGATCAGTTATAGCCTATCATTGCTACTATAATATACTTCAATTTCTATGATTTAGCCATTGATAGAATAAATCCCATCTTTTATAATGCTCTTTTTTTTTCTTGCTCTCTAATTGCTAATGTTAATCTGCTCATTTCTGCATATGGTTTTCCTGACCGCCTTTAGCTGTATCCCTCCTTAACTTCTAACAAGGAGCCCTCGATTTAATGGCCACCCAAATTTTCTCGCAGACCACCAGTTGGAGACTAGAAAACCTCCAAGGTCCCTTCCCCTCCTATTATTATTCTGTGTTCTGCGTGTATGAGAAAAACAAAAACAAAACCCAGCCTTTACTGATATTTCTCGCCTTACCTTTGAAGTACAAGCAGTTGAGGATCATCACGAGCGTGTCCGGGTGTATGTTAACGAGCGCGTCTTTAATTAAGCCCTTGGTGAGCTTTACGATTCGCTCATTAGCGCGACTGACGAAGGTTGGGTCAGAGAAGTCAGCCACCTGGGCCTCGGCGAAATAGTACTTCTTCATATTGTCCTTGAACTCATTCAGGAGGGAAAACTGCCTTTGGACATAGAGGTCGTTGACTGACCTGAGGGTGTAGCC